TCAGAAATGTGACAGAGCTGCATCCTTCTGAATAGCAGAATAGTAGCTTTCCATTATTAAATTATACTAAAAATCCCTTGCATGCCAAGCCACTGACTGAGATTTCCCTGAGCAAAGCAATAATAGAAAACAAATTAGCAAAACTAATGCAGGAACAGCATAAGCCAGCGGAGTGGAAGTTTTTCCCATAAATGTGAGATTTCATACCAAAAATAGTGAGTAAAGTAAGTCATGTGAACACAGAGCTACCTGCACAAAATGCAGGGTGCCTGGAGCTTCCATTGGCAGCACAGGCAAGTGAGAACACATTAATTAATTCATTAACTAGTTAACGTGCTCAGGATGCTCAGAGCACTAGAGAGAATCAGGCCTTCTGAAATTGGCTATTCATCAGATTTAAACTGAATATAATTGGCAGCACTAATTAGATCATTCTCAGTGAGAGCAGTGAAAGTGAGAAAGTAGTAGTTAGATCACTGAGCCTCAGGAAAAATAAAAACAAAAGGCCATTGCATATTTATAAATTAGCAGGAAGAATGAAGGAATCTCTGATTTAGACAGCGATTGCTGCCTGTTTCTCTTAAACCTGTGGAAGTATTCTCCCAGTAAAACCATGTCTTTGGCTAACAACACTGTTTCCCTACAGCTTAGCATCCCCTAGCAGTTCGACCTAGCAAACCAAAACCTGCACTGGCTGACTCCTACATCTCACCCTGACTTGATTTTGAGTTTGGGAGGACAAGAAATGGTTCCCAAAGGATTCTCAAGTTTATCTCATCAGCTTCTTTGGCTCTGCTCCCATGAAAGACAGAGTGCTACTGGCAGAGCAATGGGGGGTTTACAGAGCCCAGCTACCTGGAAACAGTTTCATGCCAAGACTCCACATGGACCAGCTGCTAATCAACACATAAAATGTCTTAGTTTTCAACCAAATTGTCTGCAACAGGCAACTCATGGCTTCAAGACCAGTAATAAGCCTACCTGTTTTCTCTCTCCCCTCCCCGAAAGTTCATCCTGACACAGAGAAGACATCAGAACACAATAGGCTATTTGGGTCATGGGACTGTTTCTGTTTCAAAACCTAAAAAGTGCTTGGGGTGAGGGTGAGGAGGCCCTAGTAACATTTGAGGTTCCATGGAAACACACATTCATCCCCAAATACTTTGCACTTGATATACTTTTCACTGTCTCAATCTGTCATCACACTAAGTCAGGTACTGGGAAGAGCGCTTTATCCTAAAATATCCAGATTTCTAACTTAAAAATTGGGCATATTAATTTCTGTTATATATTGCAACTGAAACCCTTGCTCACAATGCTACCCAGGCTCTGATTGCATAGACTACCAATTACCTCATCCATTTTTTTTAATTACAAGGTAATTTCCTGATATCCAGAAGAAGGCAAAGGAGAAGAAGAGCACCGTGTCATTGCCTGTGCAGCTTGTCAAGCACCCAGGCTCACCATAAGGCCACTCACTGAAAACTAATTTCCTTGGTACATATTACAGAAAAAAAATAACTCATACAGCCCGTATTGGGCTGAATGGAGATCAACACAAAACCATTTGCACATTAATTCCAGCTGCAGGATCAGTTACAAATCCATTTACCTTTGGTCACTGTCAAGGTAGAAAACATGTCCAGCTACAGCAAACAAGTCACACATTTCAGGTCAGGGACTGCGTGTTTACCTTCAGATTGTATGAGACACTTCCAAATAACTACTTCAATACAGCGGTAAAAAGCTCCTGAATGAGGTACTTGATATTTTTTCTTGGCAAATATTTGCTACAAAGTCAGTGGGGACGTGTATCAGTGAAGCTTGTACTGGAACTGAGAACACAAATGTGGAGGTCTGGGTATCCCTGAAGTCAAAAGTGGTCTTGCTAATTTGCTTGTGAGTTACACAGCCAAACCATGGTTGGAAATTTAGAGGATTTCACCCATCAAAAGAAAAATTTTAAAATAACTACTCCCTTGAAAGGAATAACTGTAACTGGTATTTTTCAGGTTTAAAATACTGTTTCAAACTTTATTCTTTAATAAAGGGATGTGATGTTTAGCAGTACAACCTATTTGCAGACAATGCTTTAATTAAACATTTAATGAGCCCATCTCGTTTCTTTGCACGAGCTTAACTTCACACAGCCAAGATAATAATGCAAACACCACATTTTGGTTATTAAAATAATTGCTTTCACAAACACTGACCTCCTGACAAACCAAATGGCTGGTGCCATGCATACAATACTCCCACAGCTCAGGGACCTAAATTTAGCATAAAGCCCAATTTACAGCTGACCATCAGATTTAAAAAAAAAAATCTAGGCAAACAGTTTTAAAGACGGTGATGTTTTCACCAAATCCCTCAAGATTTCATTCAATTATTCAAGAAAATTTAGAAAAACATCTTTCATTTAACCATACGACAGCCTTTAAGAGTGTTACCCAGGCAGGGGCGCAGCAGCAGCTTCAGGATGTTTCCTCAAACTCTCATATCCACATCAGAGCAACCAAAACCATGACCTTCCTTTAAGCCACAGCTCTGGAAGACTTTTTTATCTAGCTAATTGAGTTTTTCCAGGAGCCAGTTACTTTGGAAAGGACCAAACATTTTCAGTGGGACTTTAATAAAAAAAAAAAAAAGAAGAAAATTTTCCCCCTAGCTTTATAACCAAAAAAAAAAACTTTAAGTATTTCTGCAAAATGGTGACAAATTTTCAAGACTCTAAGTAAAAAAATCTTAGCGAAATGAGTTGTCAAAACATTTTGAAAATCTGTCAACAGCTCGAATTCTTAGAAACCATGATTCGGTGATGCTGGAAATACAATCTTGTCCATGCTGAAGCAGCTAAACCACATCCCTTGCTGCTTCAGCTGAGCTTTTTTCTTCATGGAAAGTTACTGGTAGGCTTTCACATCTATGAGGTGATTCCTCAAGCTAATCAGCATCCCACCAGCATCATCCTTTCCCAGGAAGGACATCTCCAGAGAGGCCAGCATACACTCCAGAGCCAGTCAGCTTCTACTGCTTGGAAACTGTCCTGTCACTCCAGGAAATGGCCAATTTTTCACTCCCCACCTAGGAGAAACCATCCCCCGAGAGGGCACAATGCATGGCATGGTGAGGTATGAGTCACAAAAACTCTGCTAACTGGATTCTCACTAAAAACATCAAGGGCCTCTCACAATAGGTGAAATTGCTGAGGACTCCAGAGAACTGAACCCTCATTTTATAATGTTCCCAAGAGAAAAGTGAAAAAAAAAACCAACAAAAGCAACCAAACAAACAAAACAGACACAAATGCAAAACCCCAAAACCAAACCAAACAAACAAAAAAAAAGCAATCAAAAAAAAAAACCAAAAAACTTCCCCTGCAAACACAAGAGCACCAGCAACCTAATGATGTCCATCTGCAGCAACAAAATTCCTGCAAATTCAGGTAAATTAGCTTAATTTTACATCATCTGACACAGTGTATTCCATGTAATCATTCCATACCACAGTGGAAATTATTTCCAGCTATAGTCATTGGCACTAAAAGGCCCATTTCTGACCTACTGAGCTCTTGACCATCCATGGGAGACTTCCCACTCATTTCAATGGTCTTTTGATCAGGTCTGATATATTTTCCCAATGTTTTTCTGCTTCTTGTGTCCTTGAGATCTGCTATTGCTTTCCCCAGCTATTGGGTTTGTGATTTATTGGTTTAATTTTTTTTATTTTTATTCAGTTTTAGTATTTATAATGGGACACAACTGACACTTTGAAATAGGAGACACTTTTTTGCTTAAGGGTTACATGTGCTATTGGTCGCCTTGAGCACAAAAGGAGATTGGAAATCTTCTTTGATACTTCTAGACACTTTCACCTCTACTGAACAAAATGCTTTAGCACAAAAGCAATAACGACAAAACCCCAAAGTTTAGACACATTAGTGGCTCTCAAAACATACTTTGATCAGAGTACTCTGTTCCTAGGAAGCATAGGTGTAAACCCAAGCAATTTTCTTCACCTGACAAGTATGAACAGTCTGTTAGAAAGGGAGGAAGTCCTCCTCCAATGGATGTGGTGGCCAAGAGATGACTGCCAATAATGTGAAATCTCATGGCAAAGCAAAATAAGATCCAAAATAAGAAATAGATGTGTGAAGCTATGGAGAGGTTCTAGTGATGGCAAATAGCCCTTTGCTAAAAGACATCATGTAGCTACCAAGAGGCAGCAAGTATTTTATATAGACAAAAAAAAAAATAAATAAACAGGAGAAAAAGAAAAAGAAAAAATAGAACCTAGGCTAAAAAAAACCACAAACCAGGGCACAAGCTCCTATCCCAGTGAGACTGACAGTGGCAACTGTAAATTGTGGGGAGCATTTCCTCCTCCAAGCCAAGATCTTTCCTACACGTGTTATCAACCCCTACACATATGTTTGCAGGACTGGCATCACTCCCATCTTCTTTGCAATACTTTATCAGTGAGAATTCTCATTTTATTTTAAAAATACGAATGTAATTATTTACTTCAAGTCTCCCAGGAGAGGACTGCAGTTCTTACTGCAGCATAACAGATAAGAAAGGATACAGTGTTTGTTCCAAGGCAAACAGCAAAGAGAGAATCCAACATCTTAGGAGGAAAAAAATCACTTTTCAGACACTAGCTAAGATTAAATGGGCATTTGGCACCGAACCCAAAATGTATCATTTTCTTGGGTCTACCTCTGTGGAGTCAGATCAGAAACAACGACTCGTTCATCTAGAAATGGCTGAAATCAAGTCATTAGCGCTCCACCGACCACCGCCAACTCCCGCAAAAACACCCTCTTGGCACCGGGCGTAGAGCAAAGCTTTTGAAGCCAAACCACCCCCGCAGCGGCCACGGCGCATCCCGCACACGCCGAGGGACCGGCGCGTCCGCCGCGCCCCCCGAGCCCGGCCGGTGCCGCGGCGGGAGCGGAGAAACGGGGACAGGAGGGGAGCGGCGGGCAGGGCAGGGCAGCCCGCCGCGCCCGCCGCGCCGCGCACCGGATGATGCCCCCGCGGGGGGCGGTGGGCTCCTGCCGCCGGCGGCGCCTGGCGCCCCTCAACGAGGACAACGGGCGGTTCCTGCTGCTGGCCGCCCTCATCGCGGCGTACCTGAGCGCCGGCGCCACCGTCTTCTCGGCCCTCGAGAGCCCGTCGGAGGCGGCGGCGCAGCTCCGCTGGAACCGGACCCTGCACAACTTCAGCCGCATCTTCAACATCAGCCTGCCGGAGCTGCGCGCCTTCCTGCGGAGCTACGAGGCGGCCATGGCCGCGGGCATCCGCGTCGACGCCCTGCGGCCCCGCTGGGACTTCCCCGGCGCCTTCTACTTCGTGGGCACCGTCGTCTCCACCATAGGTGAGCGCCGCCCCGACGGCCCCGCGGAGCAGAGCCGCCCGGCCGGGGGATGCCGCGGCCCCGGCCCCGTCGTTATAGCGACCAAAGTTTGGGGAGCGGCGCCGCCGCGTTGCTGTGGCAACCGGGGCTTCGCAGCGCGTCCGGGTCGCTCTGTCCCCGCTGCCCTCCCGTGCCGGGGGTCGCGGTCCCGGGGTCCCCTCCAGCCCCCCCTTCCCGCTGCACGGAGCCGGGGACCGGCGCTGCTCTCCCGGGCTGGCAGCAGCGCCGGCCGTCGCGGCTGCGGGAGCCCCGTCCCCCCCAGCAAACTCCTGCTCCCGGCGGCTGGGTTCTTCCTTCTGCCGGCCCGAGGGAGCGAACGCGGCTGGCGGCTGCCCGGGCAGCGCTGCCTGCGCCGGGATGCGCCCGCCGCGCCAATGGCTCGGTACCGGGAGCGGCGGCGCGGGGCCGGCAGGAGCGGGCTGATGGAGACGCTGAACGAGAGACAGGCTTTCGCCGTGCCTGGCCGCCTTGGTACCGGCTTTAACTGCTGGCAAAAGTTAGGATGTGTATGTGTTCAAAGACGCAAAGTCGCGTGTCTTGCAGCCGTAGCGTTCTCGGTGTATCGCTGCAGCCCGCTGCAGTTTTTCCTATCCCATAGGTGTTTGGGAAGAGCGGCACTTTGTAAAGCAAATGATGAGTTGTGGTGGGAGGAAGGATTTTTTTTTTTTAAAACTCTGTGGCTATCTACTGCTCTTGGTCTGTTGCTTGAGAAAACCTTGTCCCTGAATACAAGACCTTAGCCGTCTTAACTCTGCCAGTTTTTGACTTCTGTAAGAAGCCAGGTGTCTTCTGAGCATAAATGTCTTGTTTTCCGTTTATTGTAGAGGAAGAAACTCACAGCTCGTTATTGCGTTTACATTCATTAGGTATGGAAAATGTTTTATCAATAATAACTAATCCGTATAATGGAGTCGTGATGGTGAGTACAGCAGTGTTGTCAGGTATTGTTGCTTTTTGCATTGAAAAATCCAGTTAACTTTTGCTTTGCAACTACATTTGGTAGCCCGGTCATTAAAACACCGTTTTAATTAAGTATTAAGCTTTCTTCATCACAGGAACATGTATTTAAAAGAGATTATTTTGACTGATCAGAATGAGTGAACAAAAAAGCTAATGTTTTAACAAAGCCATAATTTCATTACACCTGCTGTGAGAAACGGAAATCTTCAGATGATGTGTAAACACATTGCTGTCCCTGCCAACTCTGGCTTCTCCTCTCTGAGGTTATTGAAAGGTAAAATGTTTCCTCTTACTTTGCATTTGTTTCCATCTCCACTTTATTGCCTTGCCTGCAGTTATTTGTGCGTGAGCAGAGGAACTGAGGAACTCAGCAGGGTCTGGAGAGGTGTAAAGGCAGAGCCAGGAGTTGTGTTTCTCATATTCCTGTAGCACCAGCCGAGTGTTTTCTCCTTGGAGTCAGTAGTGTCATATCTCACATGCAAGGTGGGGGATGAAGACTGAGGGGTTTTTTGTGATGTGCATCAAAGGCTGGATTCTGACAAGTGTTCCCCAAGTCCCACCTTCTCTTGGAATGCTACCTGGCAGTGCTTACTCCTGGATTGTTTAGAGTTCAGAGAGCCGTAGAGCAAGGCTTTGCTCTGAGTGAGGAGATGCAGGCTGAGTTGTGCCTGTGGGCGCAGCAAAGGCCGTGGCAGAGCTGCTGTGCTGGGGGTGCCAAACTGCACAGCCTGGCAGGAGCAGTGTCTGCCGGAGTCCCAGCACCCCGAGGCTGCTCTGCTCCATCCGGGCATGGCTTCCACCATGCACATCTCACGTGTACAGCTCCTGCAGATGAAGAGGAGCTGCTGCCTCCACCTCAGTGCTTCTCTTCGTGTGCCTCTTCAAGCTGCTGCAGCTCGTAGAGGCAAAGCCCACGAAGAGCTCAGCTGCAGCAGGGTTTCTTCCACCACACAGTTGTATTCGGTTATTTTTGGCAGTTCTGCCCAGCGGAAGCGGAAAACCTCAGTGGGTTAACTAGTTGTTCCACTAAAACACGATGCTGTGCTCTTAGTCAAACGTGCACAAAGCTGTCTGGCTCATGGTCCCAGCATGGAGAAACCGAATGGCAGGGCAGTGAGATGTCACCTGGGTGAGCAGTTCCAAAGACATTCTTTCAAGGTCCATTTTTTAGCCTCCCAGCCAGCTCATTTATGTACCTACCCACCTGGACTACCTTTGATTCCACTGTCTGCTCACACACCACGTTATCCTGGCTCTGAGCAATTTGATTTGCTTTCATGTCATGCTTAATTGACAAGAATGCTGTTTTTACCCAGCCTTGCCAAGAACTACCAGACATGCAGAGTCAAAACAGCTTTCCTTCCTCCACAGCTTCATCAGTTACGTGTGTCAAAGCAACTTTATTACTCCAGCTAAACACACCACCATCCCAGCGAGGTGGTGGAAAGCTTCCTTACTCACTGCTTAACAAGCAGCAGGTATACTCAGTGTCTCTCAAGGGTAAATCACCCACAGGTTACTCAGCTTCTCATCTGTAGAGGATTCCAACTCGCAGGAATCGCGCTATGTCTTTTCAAGCCGTCGCTCTGTTCTCAACAGTTTTAATAAAGCTACTAAATCTTTCTCCTGCAGGCATTGAAATGCAGTCATCCAGGCACAGGGCTGCAAGTCCTCCTGGAGTTTGTGTGAGCTGAGCTGAGAAGGACTCCAGTTCTTCATCCTTCTGTGAACATGAGGGTTAGGAGTGGCCAGGCTGGGAGAGAACTGTTCCATCCGTGCTCCTGGAGCAGGCCCTTTGCAGCTCCCCTCTCTTAGGTGCCTCCTTGGCTGCAGTTCTGCACTTCCCTAAATCCTCAGGGACACAATCAAACAGGCTGGGTGAGAAACATGTTAATGGGGTCTTGAAGAAATGAGAGTTGAAATTCTAATTTTAAAGCATTTTCCTGAATAGCCCACAAAATGTGTGGCTTGCAGTCCATAAAACACCCTCTTGATAGCACTCTGGGCATTTAGTTTTTATTACTGTGTTGTTTGTGTTTGAATAATGAAATGTTGAGTCTGTTTTCATTAGACACATCTGGATTTTCAGAGCTATGTAAGAAAATCCTTCAGTCTAACTTCTGATTGCTTGCTGTCGAACTACACCATCTATTCAGTCATTATTTTGCATTCCAAAAGGTGCTACGTTTCTAGGCAATTATTGTTATTATTCTGATTTCTTTAAGGAGCAGCTAGGTGAAATTTATTATTGATTCTTTGGTCTAACTGACTGTAGGCTTTGGTTTTCAGTTGAGTTTTTTCATTCCCTCCCCAAATGCAAACCACCTATAGTACCCAACACTTTGTTAAAGACTGAAAACAAAAGTATAACTCAGACCAGATTTCTCCCTGGTAAAGTGTTACAGATGCAGGTATAATCAATCCTAGCTTTCCCTGTATTCTGGTAGCAGAGATTTGTTCTGCCTAGCACACCAGGCAACTCTGGAATGCCTGAAGATCTGGATTTCTGTCTCAGTCTAGACTTTGTACCCAGATTTCTTTCCTCTCTTAAGTGTCAGAATAAATCTTAGGTGCCTGTGTAGTAAAACATTTTGTAACATAGACCCATTTAAACTGGAATCTAAGTTTCTTATATGTAAGTACATATTTCAAGAATCAAGTGATAGAATTGATTTATAGAAATCCATACCAGGCATGAAAAAATGAGGTCAAGTGAAATACTCTGATATATAAAAGTGATTTTTTAAAATAAATTTTTTTTTGTAGCTCCTTTACTGTGGGCAGATTATTTTGGGATGGAACATGTCTGGGTTATGTGTGCTTGAGAAATGCCCCTGGGAAGAAAAGAAGCAGGGATCTTCTCTCTGTACAGCTGTGCAGGGGTTACAGGTGTTGGGGACACAGAGTGTAGGAGTGAGCTGAGTAACCTGTGGGTGATTTACCCTTGAAGACACTGAGTATACCTAGCAGTTGCCTTATCCCTGAGGTATCCTGTTAAATTACTCAATATTCCTGTGGACTGACAACTCCACCCAAAGGGATGGGGGCATCCTCTGCTCTTTAGTAACAGACACAGCATTCTGTGTTTTCTGCCATCTCGCTGGCTCTGGCAGCTGTTTTCTCCTTGCTTGGGATGTCAGCTGGGTCAGACCTTCTTCTCTCTGGCTCCTCTGTAGGGACCAGCACACCCAGCAGAGCATTTCTGCTTGTGCTCCACAACCTAAGCACCATAACCACTCACTTCCAAAATACCCTCTGGCTCTGTATCATAGTCTTGTGAGAATATCTGTCGGTCCAGATGTTCTGGAGGTGATAATTTAATGGAAGGGATGTGCAAAGCACATTGGACAGCTCAGTAAGCACGGGTGAGATGTTGGACTGCACTGCCAGGAGCCAGGGGTTGAGAGCAGCCTGTGAGAGGAGGCTCTACAGAGGATAATTTGGTGAGAAATCCCACAAATAACCAAGATGGTCTGAAGGTTTAAGGGGCAAGTCTATTTGTCCCATCTTCGTTGTTGTGTTCCAGGATGTGAATTAGAGCTGCAGCCACAGGAGATTCTGGCTCTCTGCTCTCCCTGAAGGCAGCCTCGCTGTCTATGGGGCCAGCCCATCCAAAAGGTGACAGCCAAGCCAGGGTGAGCACCTGATAAGCAGCAGCGTTACCTCCTCAGGGCTCTGCAGTTCTCTGGGGCTGATACAGGCAGCTCTTGCACAGGTTTCAGATTAGGGGGGAGTTGCTTCCACATTTGACCTTCTTAAAGTTAAGAAATAATCAAACAAAACTGAATGAGAAAGCAGCTGGAAGAGCCAGCAGTGTTATTAAGCTGCAGTGTCAGGTTATTTGTCTTTGCCATCCTGTACACAATCTGCAGGCAGAACGAGAGGGTGTTTCAGGCAGATCTGATTCCTTCAGTGCATGCCATGCTTGGATCAATGTGCCAGTGGATTTCTGAGTTATTTTCTCACTCGGGTAATCTCGATAAAGAACAGAGAGCAAGAGG